ACACAGGTACACACTCCCGTCCATCAGGAAGTGCTTGACCGCATAAGCGTCCGGCGCGTGCGGGATGTCCGTGTGCTGGACGAAGCTCTGGCCGCTCCAGCGGTACACGGCCGGTCTCCGGCCGGCGCTGGACACCACTGCGGCCGGCCGTCCGGCCAGCGGCAGCAACTCCACGTGGGTGTCGCGCTGCCACGGCCGCAGCGGCTGCAGAGGGTAAAAGCCGCCGGACGTCCAGCGGAACACGGTGCTCCGGCCGGCCTTGGAGCTGTCGGCCACTCCCAGGTACAGGTGGCCGGAGAGGCGGGCGCTGGACACGGCGTGGGGCTGCAGGAGGTGGCCGGAGCCCAGCGATTGGTGCAGGACAAAGGGAGAGCCCGGGCCGGACGTCCGGCGCCACACCCAGGAACCGCCGGACAGTTGGGCCACCACCAGCAGGAGGGTGGGGCCGATGGTGATGGGGTGGCAGGCGACGGGGGAGGAGCCTGGGGGAAAAATGGGGACATTGAGAAAAAAATGGGGAAAATTGGGGAAAATTGGAAAAAATTGGGGAAAATTTGAAAAAATTGGGGGAAAATAGGGGAAAAATGGGGGAAAATGGGGGAAAAATTGGAGGAAAAATGGACACTGGGGACAGGGGGGCAGGGGGGATGTTGGAGACATTGAAAAAAATGGGGGAAAATGGAAAAAATTGAAAGAATTGGGGAAAAATGGAAAATGGGGAAAATAGGGGATTGGGGACGTTTGGGACATTGGGGACAGTTGGGTCACCACCAGCAGCAGGGTGGGGCCGATGGTGATGGGGTGGCAGGGGACAGGGGAGGAGCCTGTGATGGAGTGATGGGGTGGCAGGGGAAAATTGGGGATAAAATGGGAAAATGGAAAAATGGGAAAATTTGGGGAAAAGAGGGGAAAAGAGGAAAAAAATGGAAAAAAATGGGGAAAAATGGAAAAATAATGGGGGAAAATGAGGGATTTGGGGACAAGGAAGGGTTGAGGACATTGGGGACACTGGGGACATTGGGGAAACTGAGAAAAAAATGGGGAAAAATGGAAAAATCTTGGGGGAAAATGGGGTATTTGGGACATTGGGGACATTGAAAAAATGGGGAAAAAAGGAAAAAAATAAGGAAAAATGGAGAAAATGGAAAAAATTGGGGGAAATGGAAAAAATGGGGAAAATTGGGGAAAAATGGGGATATTGGGGACATTGGGAACCTTTGAACCTTGGGGACACTGGACGATTTGGGACATTGGGGATGTTGGGGATATTGGGGACATTGGAGACATTGAATAAAAACGGGGGAAAATGGAAAAAAATGGGGAAAAATGGAAAGTGGGGGAAAATGGGGGATTTGTGACATTGGGGACATTGGGGACAGTGGGGACAGTTGGGCGACCACCAGCAGGAGGGTGGGGCTGATGGTGATGGCGTGGCAGGGGACAGGGGAAGAGCCTGGGGAAAATTGGGAAAAAAATGGAAAATTGGGAAAATCTGAAAAAAATTGTGAGCAAATGGGGAAAAATGGGGGGAAAATGAGGGAAAATGGCAGATGTGGGACATTGGGGACATAGTGAAAAAAATGGGGAAAAAATGGAAAAAAATGGGGAAAATGGAAAACATTGGGAGAAATGGGGAAAAAATGGGGGATTTGGGACATTGGAGATGTTGGGGACATTGGGGACATTGGAAAAAAATGGAAAAATGGAAAAAAATGGGGGAAAAGGGGAAAAAATTGGGGGAAAATGGGGAAAAATATGGGGAAAATGGCAGGAAAATTGGAGATTGGGGACATTGGTGACATTGAAAAAAGTAGGGGAAAATGGGGGGAAAAGGGAACAAATTGGGGGAAAATTGGGGAAAAATGTGGGATTTGGGACATTGGGGACATTGGGGGAATTGGGAACCTTGAGGATCTTGGGGATCTTGTTTTTCCCCATTTCTCCCCCATTTTCCCCCATTTTTACCATTTTTCATCCATTTTCCCCCATCTTTTTGCCATTTTTCCCC